TTAATTGCTTGCTTATATTCTTGTCTGAATGGTGATGCATTTTGTAGAATTCATTTTTAGTGAGGCCTGATGGTGTTACTTAACAAAACTTAAAGATTTTTTTCTCATTGGGGCAATAAATTTAGGTACAAATTCTGAAACTTTAACCTATTTTACCCATTTAACTGATCCTCTAACTGACTACTCTCAGACTCCTTGATACCCCAAAGATACTGAAAATCAGGCATAGTTTAATTTCATTTCCACCAGTAGTGTATTTTTACAGGTGTGTTTTTGTTTTTATTTTTTTTTTACTGTTTTTGTTTGTTTGTTTGTTTGTCTTAAGTTTAGGATAAGAATACTATTGTGTGCAAGGAATTGAAGACTGTACAGAAATTTTTGTGAGACTGACCGGGCAACTCCTTCCAGATATCAACATGACAATTGTATATTTTTAGCCTGCCATTCTAGATGAATTTCCTTTCTTTTATATTATAACTCAAAATCAGGACTCTGCTGTGAAAGTCTTAGTTTTTTTATTTAGAATATTATTCTGGTACTATATATATATGAATATATATACATACGCTTTTGTTTCCTTAATTCCTCCTGAAAGAAAGTGTATTTCTTTAATGACAGCCCAGTAATGGGCACGGTAGCATTGCAGTTCTGAGCAGCACCCCAGGGCCTGATGCCACTGACCCACAGCAGGGTAAATCCAGAGCACATCAACCAAGGTGTTCACAGTCCAGACAAGTAAACAAGATTTGGTAAGCAAACACACATTTTGTGTTCATTCTGTTGTCATCTCCTATTGAAAATAATATTAGGTAATAGAATCTGCCATAATTCCTCTGCTTAGTCTCCCTGAAATGGAGATCAATGAATTTTAGCCAGGAACTTGTCAACTTAAGAATATAAGAACTGCTGTCAGGACTCTTTCTGCAAAGTTCCTCTTACTTTAGCAGCTGTTTCAAACTTTTCACTGAAATAAGCCTACTTTTCATGCTAATTGCAGCCTGAAGCTCATTATTTTCAGGGTTGTTTAAAATAGGCTGCAGTTATATAAAAGGGTCATTTTGAAGGAGGAGATATTTTCTATACTCTCTGCCTCACTATTCCCAATTATTTTGTTGTCATTGTAATTAGTTATTACTCAGAGATAGAAAATTTGCTGCTCTTTGATCTTTTGCTTGTTTGAGTTTTTTTCTACTGCTTCAGGTGCTCTAAAAATGGTTGAAAGCATCTGGAGATGAGGGGAGACATCTTGTTCTGTCTGTTACTGCTTGTGTCTCTGTAAAGCACAGGCAATCACCTCCAAGGTTCAGAAAGCACTTGTGCCTTCTCTACCACAGCAGTAGCTATCATTTCTCACCAGTTCTCTAAAACTACATAAGATTGGATTTTGACTCTCTCCAACTGCCTAGAAGAGCATATGAGGAGAAGATTCTTTTTAATGTACCCAGTCACCACCTAAACTCTGTGTGCAATATTACACCCTGCCTTCCATGAGTGGCAGAATGATAAAAATGGATGAGCATTTAGTGTCAACAAAGAGAATAAGCCAAGCATGGAGTAGATCAGCAGCAAATTTTTAGGCTTTTGGAGCATCAGAGGGTCAGAGTAACTGTTTCTTTCCAGGAAAGGACTGTCATCCCAGGATAGGTTCTTTTAAGGCAGTGTGCTTTCCCAGGGTTTACAGGAAGGATGAGCTGCCACTTCTTGCTCTTCTTTTCCATCTCCTTGTCTGTCTCACATTAGCTTTAAACTTCAGTGATGTTGACACAAGGAAATATCAACAGCCTAACCCAGCCACACATTGCTAGCAATTACATAGTACGACAGCAACATTATAATCCTGAATTTTCCGACTGAGGCAACTGCTTAAAACAGGACATGAAATGTCATAACTGACTAAATGGAGAAATGGCTTATGCTCATAGTTTTTTTTATGTCATTTTTTTGAAAGTATGCATGGGCAGCAGACATACAAGAGTGGTGAGAAATATGAAACAAATGGGAGAAACTCAAAAGCTTGGAAGAGAGGGAGCCACAAGATATAGTGCCCATTGACAAAGCATTACAGGACTAATTCTTGCAACCCTCCCACTGACATAAGTGGACCTGGTTGACAGTAGCCAGTAATAAATGCATCTGTTAAGACAGAGTGGGAGTGGACCACCTGCATCTCTTTTGTGTTGGCACAGTGGTGAAAGCAAAGACTTCAAATATAAATTGGTAACTCTCTTTAAAATTAGCTATATTATTTAGCCTTTCTCCATTGAGAAAGAAAATGGTTGCTTGTGAGAAATGCTGAAGCCTTGAGGGGAAAGTAAGAAGTTTTTTATTTTAAAGGGGAAATGTTCTGGGTCACAAGTAATGGAGACAGAGGAGTAATGGATCAGGAAACAAAAATAAAAAGTAAAATAAAATAAAATAAAATAAAATAAAATAAAATAAAATAAAATAAAATGATAAAGGAGAAATGAGAAATCCATAGTAGTTCCTGTTCTTTTAAGATATCTTATTGAAGAAGCACACTCCGTTCTTTTGGGATGTGATGTTATAAAAGTGCCAAAGATTTTCTTTGACTGACACAAATATCATTACAAGACAATATCTTTAGAAATAACTAGTTGCTGTTTAAAAAAGAATTAAACCCTCTAAAAAGCTAAGCTATGCTGCTTATTATTACACAAAATGCACATATTCATGTGCATATATATATGCAAAACTATAATGCAAATTTATAAATTTATTGGGGAGGGAAAAAAAATCCAATTATTTAGCATGAAATAATAAACAAAAGTACGAGACAGCTTAAAAGGTAATGCATACTTTCCTAAAATGGGGGCTGCAAACAAAAATATATAGTTAGTGTATATTTTCATACATATTTAACCCATGAGCATAAGGGTCTTGTTGGATCCAGTTCCATGCTTATCACTGAAATCCTTCTTCACATTTCCCACTACCAATCTCTCTCTATGCTAGTAGTAACCTATATCATCATCTTTCATTTACCATTTTTTTATTGATCTCCATCTTCTCCTGTTTATTTCATATTAGGTGTCTTTGTAAGGTCCTGATGAATTAAACTGAATGTATCTCATCAGTAAAAAATAGTTTTCAAAGAACAACATTGAATTAATTTAGTATGGTCTATCCTTGCTAATGACATAATATATCTTATTACATTTACTTCCAACTTCTGATTCCTCTTTCAAAGTTTATCCCAAAATTTAGACAGGAAAACTGCCTTTGTGACATGTTTTCTCTTTTTTACATAAAAGTACTTGCTATTCTTTAGTCAGCTTTTTTTTTTTTTTTCTTTCAAACTGTAGGCTATGCTCTTAGAGCTTTTGATATCTAATGAAAGCTTATTTGTTTCATGTACTTACATAAAGAAAATTACAAAACAACCCCCCCCCCCCAATTAATCATCCTCAGTTTAATATGATAGAGGATTTTCAATTTAATTGATGTTATTTGGTTCTCATAAAAATAAATATCTCCATATTTATAGTGCATGCTTTTTTCTTAAAAAAAAATAATAATAATAAAATAATAATAAATCACTTTAGATTACTGAATTATCAGGCTCATAGATATACCGAGAATCTTTAAACAGGTATTTCTATTTCTTTGTCTTCATTTCCACTGGTCACAACAGTTTTGGTCAAATGTCATAAAATCTGATGGCTGTAGACTTGAGGAGTACCAGGTATCTGACACTCAATCCTCCAAAGCTGATTAAACACTTGTAGAAATGATAAAGCTTTCAGAAGACTTAGCAAGGTTATTTCAAACAATATGACTGGGCTCATAAAACAGCTGCTTATGCCAAACCCAATACAAAATAAAGAGTATTATAAAGATTTGACTGGTCTCATGTTTAAACTGCAGCAATTCAATAGGCATTTTCTTATGTCCTTAGGCCACAGTGCTGGTGTACAGAAATTCTTGAAAATACTATACCTTTACTCAACTGCCAGCAAGTTTTTAGATAGCCAAGGGCGCTATTGATATTTTTCATGTTTCTGAAAAAATACATATTTGATTTAGAACTGGGTACTTTCTTATGAAAACGTAATAATAGCAATAGCACAAAAATATAGAATCACCTGCTTTCAAGTTGTAGTGACTTTATGTCAAGCTGCTTTTGTAATCATATTTCTAAAAGTATAGAAGAAAGGAGTTTGCCTTTTGAACATTGCTGCCTGTCCTGGTTTGTTCCAGAATTCACTTCTGCCACTTTTTACAACTATCCTTTATAAGTTTAGTCATAATTTGAACTCATTTTATGGGCAAAGATCTGATCAGAGTATCCTACCCATTCAGTAAGTGCTCTAGCCTTTCCAGTATGGGATATGTAGAGTTTTATGTACTTCCTACAGACTTGTTTAATACATTTCTCACTGCATGATATTCTTTCATCTGAGCAGTTCAGACTATAAAATTGCAGCTTAAACAATTTTAGTACCTGCTGTAGGTAATGGCAGGTCTTTACCTAAAGCAGACAAGCACCCCTCCTCCTCCCCCCCCCCCAAAAAAAAAAAAAAAAAAAAAAAATTACAATTACTCCTAGAGTTATAATTGAAATAACTCTTCGGTGACATACATTAATAAAAACATTGACCCACCAGCATTTAATACCTGTGACTGATTATGTATATTCTAATCAGCATTAATATAACAAATAGGAACAACTAACAGGGAATTTGAAGAGGTCAAGTGGAAAGTATATATTGCTAGGCAAAAGTCATCATTATTATATTCATCATGTTCACTTGCTGCAATGGAAGTACCTCATTCAGAGGAGGATGTTTTGTCTGCATAACCTACCACTGTTCTTTCTGCCTGGCATTTTATCCCCCAAAACACTTTCAATTTATTTATTATTATTATTATCATTATTGTTGTTGTTATTATTACTATTATTGTTGTTTGTTGTTGTTGTTATTATTATTATTATCATTATCATTATCATTATCATTATTATTATTATTTTATCCCCAGAGGTAACTTTGAAGTCAGTGTCAGCTATTCATTACATACAGACCCCTGGTTTTGTCAACTGGACATCAGCTTTGGGGAGCTGTTTGAAGTGGTGAGCTGATATTTGTAACTGAGGCTTTGTTCTTGTTCCACCCTCAGGGTGTGTTGAGTCTCACAAGACACAGTTTAAACTGAAGATTAAAATATATTGAAATGTACAAATGTGTGTGTGCTGGGAGAGGAGGGGGAGGGAGTGAGCAAATTCTAGCAAAATTAAGAAAAAAAGATTTTTGACTTTATTCACTGTCATAAACTTTTTACATTTTGGCATTAGTCTCATGATAAATTTGGGCACTTTAACTTGAGCAGCTCCATACGTTAGCTGGGAATGTGAATTTCTCCACAAGCCCTATTGCAATACTGACTGCAATAGGAATGTAAACTCAATTTATTTGTAGACATTTATATACAGACAGCTTTAGAAGTTGTAGGCATGAACAGAATCTGACCTGTAGGACACTATTCAGTTACCAAACATCTAGTTCACAAACATCTAGTGCTTCTCAGGCACTTGAAAATTATGCATGGAGTGACATTTAAGACACGGTGCAGAAGGGTGAGTGGAGACTATGTGGGAGTCTTGCACAATTCTCATGAGATGTCTACATTTAAACAACCAAACAGATTCTAAGTTGAAAACCAAAATTTAGCTTCACCTTTTGTGATGTGATAGACATTTTCTACACGGTCAGTTTGCCTGTTGCTTGCTCCCATTAATCGATGCCTTCTCTATCCCTATCCCCTCTATAGTTTCATTATCTTTTTATCAGTATGTCCCATATGCAACCATTCTAATCCCCCTATCACTTCTCTGCAGGGTTTTCCACTACTTAGCCAATGTTTGTGTTGTGTTTTTTATTGGTGTTGTTTGTGGTAGATTTTTACCTTTGTGTCTCAACCTGTTAAAATTCCATTTGTAAATAAAAATCATTTTCCATTACTTATGTGAACTCACAGTTGCATCTCAATAGTATATAACTGTCTTTTTGCTCAAATATAAATTGCAATGTCTCTGACATTTTCTCTTCATTATGAAGCTACAAGCTCAGATTCAACAAAATTTAATTTCTTACTCCTAGTTTTCTGCTATCTTGTTTTCCTGAAAGTGTACTCGTTAGTCTACTGACTCATTATGTATGCCCGTAATTTGGGCATCCTATTCAACTCTGAATTTAGTGTTTTTAGATGCAAACTATGCTTGAATTTTGCATATTTTCTGTATGAAACATCTCTTAGATACCTTTTTTTTTTTGTTTCATCTTTGCAAATGTCCATTCATACTCAGACATTTCATTAGAAAAGCTTTCTCGGCGCTTAGCAGATGCAGTAATCTCCTGGTCAGAGCTCTGCTGTGGCTATGGGTATCCTCCTCCCTACAGTTCATTTGCTCTTGTTATTTCATTCTTTAAATGACTCCTCTACATCCCTCTCACACTTTTCAAGGCCTCTGTCACACCCATCATCTAATCACATACAGAAAGGGGACTCTTGCCTCTCATGGGTTTGTGGTGTAAGTCTCCCCTGGCCATACTTTACATTTTCAGACAGATATCTTCAAACATTTTATCACCCTCCCAACTGGGAGGATATGCCTATAAGCATCAACAGAGCTAGATCCTTCAAAGGTGTGGTTTAAAAAACATCCATTACTGTGAAGCCTGTGAAAATATATGCAGTGGCAGTCTGCTGTGGTGCTGCTGCCAGGGCTGGCTATGCCTACTGATATTTACTCATGAATTTTTTTGTGCTCCTTGTCTGTGTCTATGCTTCTTTAGAACATATACTCTTTACACCAGGCACCTTTCCTTTGCAACAAAAAAGTCCTACTTCAGAATATCCTTATGTTTTTACAAATAATAATTTATTTAGAAGAATCTGTGTAACTTGGGGACATTCCAAGGCTTCCTCTGTCCTCATGTTGAACTATAGCAGATTGTAACATTTCCCTACTGCCAGGTAGTGATGGTTGTGTTGGCATGTGAATAAAATGCTATTTGGAAGATCTCTGTTTCACCTAGGGATCTAGCAATGGAATGTTATCCAGACAATTATTTTAATTGGAGATAATCATTTGGGAAATGGATGGATGAATTAATCAATTCCAGTTAATTGGGATAATGACATTATTTATGCTGGTCACCTTTTTTTTACCACCATTTGTAGGAAGCTTTCCAATGCAAGGCCAAATTCTTCCAGGATACATATCCACCAAGGCTATTGCAATTGAAGCATAAACGAATTTGGTGCATTGTAAGTTCAGAACAATTGGCCTCACCTACCTATTTTTAGAGAAACCATATGTGCAGCTGACCTGGGAATACTACAAATTGCTCTCTTTATTCCACTGTTGCTATCCTGTCATTAGCAATGTTGCAACGGGAGGTGGTTTTGGCACTTATTCTAACAGAAATCTATAACTTTTGTTTTGTTTGCATACTTATGCAGCTCATTACTATGTGAAAAACAATCTGCAGCTTAGCATTTGTTAATGGGATATGGAACAAGGAAACAGCAGATGGAGTATTGGGACACTGAATGCATAATAAGTTTGATCCTGAAAGTCTGTGTGTGATTTTCAGCTCAAGATGGTTGTTAAATTCCACTGCAAAGCTGAGCAGAAACCATGCCTGTGTTCAGGCACTGACGGCACACTCCTCTACATTAGACAGATTTAAGGGTCAAGCACCCAATCACCTTTTAAAAGGAAGCAAAAGACAAGATTTCGCTTTGCGATTATTTTTTTTTTCTCTCTCTCTTCCACTGCTCCAGAAAGAAGCTCTGAAAATAGGATGGCTCATTCTCCTTCAAGTAATTGAAGATAACCGGTTCTATGACAGTGTTCTACCTGTTCAAATCTTCAGCAAAAGAGAAACAGAGTTCTGAACATCTTCCTCTACTCGGCTATAAGATTAATGCTGCCTGGTACCCATTGTTTTCAGCAAACTGAGGTCAAGTAAGCAGGGCTATAAACTTTGTACTAAGATGCATCATCATTTAATGTGTTTATTATAGTAGCTTTTCATCTCTCAGAATAAGATTCTGTGCAAAATGATTTCTGTATTATCAATCTGTCCATCCTTACTTCTCTGCCATACTGAGTGGCCCTTCAAGTTTTCTGGTATAGTCCCAGATCTTTTCTCTTGCAAAGACAGAGACCAGGTCATTCTGTGACACTTTTTGTTGGATCTGGATACATCGAGCCATGGGTTCCTCTGTGACTGCAGCATGAAACAGATTTACCTGCCAGACTGCAGTTAGACAGATTTTAATAGCCCTTTACTGCCACAGAATGAAACTCTGACTCATGTAACACAGGCTTGTTTAGTATATTGTAGCCTTTGAAACAGCTGCAAAATGGCAAGGTGTGGCAAAGAGTTAACCACAACCAAATCCTAAATAGCTGCAGTGTAGTTTACTGCAAATGCTGCATGAGACAAGAACATTACAGATGAGAAATCTGCATGCTTTCAACAGCAAGATAAACTGTGATTTTAGGAAGAAAGAAAAAAAAAAAAAAAAAAAAAAAAAAAACGAAAAAAAAACAAAATAAGTTGCAAAACGTTAGGACAGGCTTCAAGACTGGAATTTTTCCTAGGCTTTTGGTTTCTTCATTACAGGATGCCCCTGCATTCAGGTCTGTTCTACTGTGTGACACAAGGGAAAAGCATCATTTGTGAAATGTCAGTGTCTTGGGGTTCCCTTGATTTTGTACCAGTCTGAATTCAATTCTCCTGCCCCCCTCAGAGACATTCTAGCAAAGACAACATCTGTGACCGACAGCAGGAGCAGTTCTGAAGGGAGATAATGTTTTCAGCTAAATGGACCCAACAGGCTCCTGTGAATGTGGCTTCTGTTTTCATGTTCATATTGATCCTCTCACCAGCAGTAAATAGGGTGACAGGGACCCCCAGAGTCACTGCATGAATCCCTAACAAGTAAGGACTAACTCAGGAGGGACTGAACACTATTCCACACACCTGCAAACAGTATGGGTCAGGAAATGCATCCACACACTTACCAAAGACTATGGTATGCCCCAGGAAGAAAGCAGGAATAAGCTGGAGCATCATCTGCATATCAGATTTCTGGATTTTTTCAATAAAATTCCCAGATGGCAACCATCATACAAGATTCTACCTCTGCACAAATACGTGTTACACGGAAGAAAAGAATCCTCTGGACCCAATATCTGATGATTGCTTTAGCATGTGTTGAGCTGGGTAAGTGGCTGGACACCTGGGTGTATTTAATATTACTAGGAATTAAGTAGAATTAAGTCCTGCAAATACTTTTAGTTCTGAATTTATTTAAAGTAATTAACAGTCTTATTTATACAAAGTAAATATAGCTCACCTCAACCTTTGTTTTACTAAACTAAACCAAATTAATTCAGCTTCTCATAATATATTTCCAAAATAATCTTAGCACTCTTGAAATTTCTAGGCGACCAGAAAAGTATGAACTATTGCAAATGAAATTTTATTAGGATTTTCTACAGCTGTACTAAAAATTTCCTGGTTTTGTTAAATAAAATAAAGCTGTATCTTCATTTTTTTTTTTTGCCTTTTTTATTTTATTTTAATATGGATTTTGATGAGGTCAGAATTTCACATATGATTCTAAGTGAAAAAAAAAAAATCTATTTGTGGTATGTAAACCATGTTGTAGAGTTTAATACTTTCAAAAGTTGTGGGATTTTTCTGTTGTTTTTGTTTGTTTGTTTGTTTTCTAGGAGTGCCTGGCTTAAACAAGTGGAATGAAGCATAATTTGGATATCATGAACAAACAGAAAACTGAATACCTGAATCTTGAAATAAAATACATTTCCATTAGTTTTCCCTCCTCCTAGTACATTGATGGAGCAAACATATACATTCCAATGAAAAAAAAATAATTTATGAAAATCCAAATAAATCATACAAAACTTTACAGTAGTAATTACAGATTTCAAATTCTATTCTGTGACTGAGAAACTAATTTACCAGTAAAAGTGCTTATGTAAACCACTCACATTCTGATATTCCAGGAATTATCATTTCTCTTCTAAATGCAGAGGAGTTAATGAGCTAAAGTCAGCTCATGTTAAAGAATGAGCTGTATGTTTGGGTCTAGATCTATAAATAAATAAATCCAAAAAACAATCCTAAACTCAAAAAATAGGACCTTAATTCTATAAGGCCTTTATGTTTCCTGAGACATCTCCAGAATACGAAAATTCTGTGAAATGTTTATTTCTTTGTTTGCTTCTCCCTTGTGTAATTTGCAGAGGTTTAAATTTTCATTGGGAAATAAATATTTAACTTCTAACAAAATGAGGTTCATGAAGAAGAGAGATGCCTTGGCTGTGAATTCCATCAGTGCACAAGCACATGTATAACCTATGGAAGGGCTGTAGGACACATCTCAGCTGCCTGCTCTTGGCTGCTTTGCTCAGATAGGCCCTGTCTCCATGGAAACATTTCAGCAAAAACGGTACTCACTGGCAACTGAACAAAGAGTTTCCTATTGCTTAGCAGAAGAGACAAAATATAAGCTGCAAAGAATATAATATCTTTCCTTGACCCTGGATCTGCAACTATTGGCAGGTCAGAGGTTTCATGGCTTCATATCAGGCAGAGTTCAGAATAGGGTGTTTTAAACTGCAAAAGTGTGCTTGCTGAAATTAAGATTGCAAGAGAAAGAAACAAAACCAGAGGATATACAATTATATAAAGGAACAGCAACCTTCAGGTCTACTTTAATTTTAGCTACTTGATTGTATAGTCAGGAAAGAAAAGACTTTTTCTAATGTTAAATTGACAAGAGTGTTCAGTGCTTTAAATAGTACGTTCAGTTTGAGACAGCACATATCTGTATTAAAGAGAAGGAGGGGAAAAAGGAAAAGGAAAAGAAAAAGAAAAAGGAAAAGGAAAAGAAAAAGAAAAATGAAAAGTAAAAGGAAAAGAAAAAGAAAAAGGACAAGAAAAAGAAAAAGAAGGAAAATCAAGCTATATCAGATATGAAAAACACGGGAAGAAAGAGGACAACCAAAATATTCTTGTCTTTTTTTCCAAGCTATGAAGCAAAGATACATAGTTTAGCCTCTGGGACAACTCCTTTAGGGACTTGTAAGTTTGAATGAGATAAAACTAAGTAATAACTGGGATTTTCTGCACATTACTCCTGAAGCCCCTTGGTAGTCACATGGGAAGGAGATTTTTTTCTCATTTTTATTTTATTTGCTTGTCACAAATGGAAAGCACACACCATCACAGGAAGAATTCAAAATTTACACTGATTAAGAGAGGGCAAATATCTCTGTCTTATTTTAACTTTCTGTGTACCATTCAAATAAGGAAACGATGAAATCTGTCTCCAGTCCTCTCATTCTTTCATCAGGAAAGTAGGATATTAATCATATCCAGATTCTGATAAGTATTCGAGTAATATGCCTCGTGTTACCTTTCTGTTTTCACTAATATAAAATAAACCTTGCTAAATAGCAAGGACAAATCATTAGTTTGATTACCACAAACAGTTTGCAACATCTACATTTAAAAAACACCCCGTAATTAAATTTGTCAAGAGTAACAGAATTTGTTTTTATTTTTTAAAATAATCATCACATTGATAGCGTCAGCTTTGTTTACCACAACACTGCTACTTTAACAATTTATGATAATTATAGTTTATTCTAATTATAACAGAGGCTCACTGAGGCACTCAACTCTGATGCAGGCACATTCCGTAGCAGAGCAGGGGATTGTGCAGGGGGGATCCTGCACTGAGGAAACCCCAAGGAGCAGAAGGAGCCACCTGCAGTCCTCACAAGAGAAACCCACAAGGTTTGGTCTGGGCCAGGCTATAGGCAGCCCCACATATACGAAGAAAGCCCCAGCCCCTGGGGAGCATGGTGACCAGAAATACAGTGACCAGGAGGGTGGTTAACAAGGGTGGGGCATTTTGGGTGCTTGTTTATGCATGAGGGCCTGACGGAGGGTGCTGTCACTGTCACTTCAACAGGTGGCTGTGACCCACTCATGAGGAGATCCAGTCACAGCATCCACCTGGAAGAAAGCCACGTCTTCTGCATTCCTTGTGGCCTCTGCAGCCACAGAAACCAACACAAATACCCAGATGGAACTCTCTTGGAAGCTCCATCCAGATAACAGGTTTCAGGGTTAGCCTGACCTTTCTGTCAGGGTCTGATGGCAGCAGTGAGTACATCTGTGTGAGGTACACCCAGGTGGAACTGCTCAGCATGGGTCAGCATAAGGAAGACCAGACTTCAGGCTGCTCAGGGAACTAATTGGTAAGGTACCCTGAAACTGCTTTTGAAGACCTGAGGGTCTATCAGTGTTGGTCAATTCTTAAGTACCACCACTTAGGAGCACAGGAATAGACAATTCCAAAATGTCAGGGGTTAAGCAGGTGGGGCACGTTGGCTTGGCTGAGCAGGGATCTTCTTCTACAGCTTAGACAGAAAAAGACCAGGTATGACCACTGGAAGTGAGGTGCATGTCGTGGTTTAACCCGGCCGGCAGCTAAACACCACACAGCTGTTTGCTCCCCCTCCCCCTTCTCTCTCTGGGATGGGGGAGAGAAATGGGAAAGTGAAGCCTGTGAGTTGAGATAAAGACAGTTTATTAAGACAGGAAAATAATAATAACAATAATGATGATAATAGTACTACTACTAATAATGTGTACAAAAACGTGATGTACAATGCAATTGCTCACCACCCGCTGACCAATGCCAGCCTAACCCTGAGCAGTCTGGCCCCCCTCCTCCGGCTAGCCACCCCTATATATTGTTTAACATTACGTTAGATGGTATGGAATACCCCTTTGGCTAGTTTGGGTCTGTCCCCTCCCAGCTCTTACTGCATCCCCAGCCTGCCCATTGGCAGGACAGAGCAAGAAGCTGAGACGTCCTTGGCTTGGTGTAAGCACTGCTCTGCAACAATTAAAACATCAGGGTATTATCAGCACTCTTCTCATCCTAAGCCAAAACATAGCATTCTACCAGCTACTAGGAAGAAAATTAACTCTGTCCTAACTGAAACCAGGACAGTGTGGCAACCTGGGAGGACTAAAGAGGTGTTGTTCACCATTGTAGGGTGAAAATTCATGTTTCCAAAGCTCGAATAGAGTTAAAGTTGACCAGTACTGTCAGGGACAATAAAAATAACTTTTTTAAATAAAATAAATAAAATAGAACTAGACACTGGTATTCTAGCTTGCTTAAGCAAAAAAACACAAGTAGAGGTTTGTTGCATAGAGTCTTCTAAGATCAACCCAAGCTGGATGTGATGGTGTTGGTGGTAGAGTTTGAAGTGTTAAGTACTACTGAAGGTTTCTTAGCTGCGACTTAATGTCACAGATGCTGTGACTTTGCATCAAACCTGTTCTATATCAGGTCATTTCAAACAGCACTTATTTGTAAGCACCTGCCTGCAAAAGATAGAGTAGGCCAGAGAACAGTCAGCTGTTTCTAAGCAGAAAAAAAAAAAAAAAAAAATCTCATTTAAAGAATGTTTTCTTAGTACACCTCACCTTATCTGGAATCTCA